GATTAGAGATTTTTTGTTTTTCTATGCCGAACAAAAATGTGCGGATAGTGATTTTCTCAAGAAGTTGTTGAATGTCTTCCCAAACCATGTATTTGAGCTATCAACCTCAGAGTTGAAAACATGCCAAAATATATTCATTTGAGTGATACTGAAACAGTTTCAGATTTTTTTCCCTACTTTTATGTAAATCATGGAAGAAAAGATGATTATTATTGAAAATGACCTTTGAAACGGTTCTACTTGTTCAAGAAATCTTCCATTTATTAGCTTGCTACCATGATGAATAGAAACTTTTTTCATATCAACTTATAATAAGAAATGATTGTTGAAGATTACACGGAACTATGGAACGCTTTGAATTTGCCTTCTGAGAGGCAAATATATCTCTATGATGCTAAATCTAAACTTCTTCCTCCTTAAGAATGAACGGAATCTCGACTTTTAGAAAGGACAAAAACCAAGATAAATAAATTTCAGTTCCATACCACCAATACACGAAGAACTTTGGAAAGATTTTCAAGGAACTAGGTATGAAGGTGGTTTTTAAAACAAGTCATACACTACAGAACCTTTTAGGAAGTCCAAAAGACAAAGTCGAGAATTCGACAAAGTACTGAATTTCTCAAAATGAGATATAAGGAACACTTAGCACACTTAAAATATGGAAGACTTAAAAATCATCAGTCGCCCATCATATTTTGCAACAAAACCATTCCATAGCCTTCAGTTCACTAAGATTAGTTAGACAAGATACCAACAACAGGCATCTAGATGCCTACGAGAGTGTAGGAATAAGTAAACATAATAATATTATGAATAATGATGGTGGACCAATACCGAAATATAACTTATAAAAATAAAATTTCAATTATTAGATTTACCTGACTATTACATAAGGACACATTGTAAAATTAATTTAAGACTAGTAGATAAGGCAATATTGTGAAATTAATTTTATATAGTTTGTTAAAATAATATTTCAATTATTAGATTTACCTGACTATTACATAAGGACACATTGTAAAATTAATTCAAGACAAGTAGATTGGGCAATATTGTGAAATTAATTTAATGAAGATTATAATATTTTTATTATTGGATTTACCTAACTATTACATAAGGAGACATTGTAAAATTCATTCAACACTAGTAGAAACACTAGTGAAATTAATTTTATATAGTTTAGGATATTTCAATTATCAAATTTACCTGACTATTACATAAGGACACATTGTAAAATTAATTCAAGACAAGTTGATGAAACAAATTGTAAAATTAATTCAAGACACTCAAAACGCAGGTACCTAGAACAGAAATCTATGGTATAAATAAGGATAGTGTATGTATGATTAGTTTGAACTTCCTCTTGAAGATGATAACGGCTTGGTGTTGGGAAAAACTCCAGTAATATTCATTACCACACCAAAGGTTCCAAACAGTGCATCTTAAGTACAATCATTTTCTGTTAGCAACAATATATTTCTCAAAGTTCATCACCTCCAAAAAACTAAAATACTCATGCTAGCACTCTTGGATTCACAAACTATTTAATTTTTATCCCTTTCCGTCCTTAACATGAACCCTGTATAGTACCCTGTATATTTATCATTTCACTCAGCTATAATTTTGCAACTATATTTTTTTTTCAGATTCAAATTTGGCAACACGCGATATCATAACTTTCTCAACGTATATTCATTATTTATTGGCTTCTACAACATATTTCGTCAATCTCCTATCATTTTCTGATTTAAATACTCAGTTTAACTTCTAGGTCATTAAATACCCTGAGTTCACAAACTGTATTAGTTTTTAAATAATTCAACACTACATTTCAACCATTTTGTCAGATATCACACAAACCAAAAAAGATATTTTGTTTTGGTTTATTATGGGAAGACCCACAAGAAGGTGATATCTTATTTTAATGAAAATAATTTTTCTGCAAATGTTGAAGTGAACAAACTGAATAGGATAATACTCGTACAGAGATGTTAAAGTTTTACGCACCGTATAACATATTGTCCAACGAATCCTCAGTGTTCAAAAACGTGTGTTTCATTGTTCAAACAAGCACAGCAATACCCATAAAGTAACATTACTTCCCGTTGTGAGCTCAAGATCAAGGGAAAGTGTGAGCATGCTGGGACCGTGCAGATTCTACGGGGAGGAACTCGCCGCATACCCGCTGATGTATTGAAGTGGGATTTTGATTTGAACAAGGGGGCCCTTTCACACGAAACACTATAAAATCTCTTTCGTTTCAGTTGGTATTCAGTTCAGTTTCAGTCCTCTTGACCATCCTCTAACATTTCACCAACGCAACCATGCAAATTTACATCGTAAGTAGAATATATGATACCTGTGGATTTCGGTGAAACTATTAGTGGTGCTGTGCTAATTTTTGAGTTGGACTGAAAATTTCATTTGTGATTCATCTACGCAACACTGATACTAAAAATATTTTTCGATAATTAATTCAACCCATTCAACCAGTGATTAATCAATCTTTAGGTGTGAAGGGACAAATAGAGATACAGCAAGTTTATTGAAATTTGAAAAATGTTATATAATATACAGGCTCAATTGCAAATCTTGAATTGATAGTAAGACGCTATATGGCGGAAAATTCATCAAACGATATTTTTCTGTGAAGTAGAAGTCGGTGTGCCTCCTTAGGCGTCACGGATTTAGGGGTGAATCATTGGGGATAAAAAAATTCTAAGGGGAAAAATGAAAAAGTTCAACATAACAATAGATTTTTGTCGAAAATTCAATTAATACTAACATCAAATAATTCTTTTGCGGTGGTTTACAAAGTTTATAAACCGATGAAATATAAAAAATATACTTCCGAGTTAGATTACAGACTCAATGCTGTTTGCTATTTGTCGAATACACAATTAATTCATACAAACATGATCAAGATGATAAATGAGAAATATTATTATAACAATAGAATAGGAATTATATCGATGATGTTCAAACAATATGAAATAACTCGTATTAGTTTTGACAAATATGTTTTTATGCATAAATGTATTGTTAACCCTATAGGATGTTGTCAAAGTATGTTGGACTTCAAATAGATTTATCTTAAAAACATATCCTGAAATTTTTTAAGGTTTTGTTAGTTAAATGATTTTTTCGAATTATTTCAAGCAACTGAATCGTCATGAACGAGTAAAAAGTCAGAATATTTTAATTGTTTTGAAGTTTGCTAAAACATTTTGGAAAACTATTTCATTTCACTTCTTTATATACCTGTTATCTATCGATATTATGAATTACTTCACTATTTTTTTAGATAACAATTAAAACATACGTAATCGAAAAAATGAATCCGCATATTGCTTAATTTTAACAAAAAGTCAAAAAGAGAGCTACTGAAACTTCCACCACTGATATACAATATTGTTGAGGATCATTTATCTGAAATTTTTGTTGAAGGTCCTGAGAGTTGAAACAATAGACTTTCAAATCCATTTCCCAACGCATATAGTGTATATACAATAAAAAACGGTATCGTAAAATTTTTTTCAATACAATAAAAATACTTTTCCCACACAACAGAACTTGAACAATTCTCTTAACATCCGTTTTACTAACCAAGTTGGAATCATAAGATTACTAAAATTAATTAATCACAGGTTGTAAAGAATAAGAGCGAAAGTGCTCTAGAGATGTTTTGATTCTACCTATCGCAAAACTTAGTATTTATTATATTCGTAAACATAATTCACGGTTATAATAAGTCTTAACAAAAGTTTGTGTTATTCGGTGAATTATTTAATTGTGACACAACTAGAAATACAAATCAATTCAAAGAACTAAGATTATTAAATACAAGAAAAGAAGAAAAAAATTAACAAAAGTTAATTTGCATATTTGAACATGACTGAATTAAAATTTGTTATGGACAACTGATGACAAAAGATGAAAATGAAAAAATTATTCCCCCTTATTCAAAAAGTTTGTCGAATTAAAATTTGCAATCAATTACAAAGTAATGCTATTCAGTGAAGGAAATTATAAATGTCTGTAAGTATTGCTTGAAATAATAAATATCCAAGAAAATTTCTCAGTGAATAACTCATTCTTTCTAGATCAAATCATGGAGATTTTGTTTATGGTAATCTATTAATAAAATTTAAGCAAAACAGTACTTAGGAAGTATGAAGTTTCCTACTATTCATTGGGTTCATAACTTTCCACAACCTCAACAATGAACAAAGCTGAATGAAACGTTATGAAGGAAAAACTCAAAAATTGATCCCGAAAAGTTATCTCGTAATATAAACCACTGAAGAGTCCAATTAGTCAGTAACTCGAATTCATTTCAGGGTGAACTTTTCTGTTTGTACTTCATATTGATTTAGTTTTGTTCATTTTCCACCTTGTGAGGGATTATAAATCCAGAGATCAGTAAATACATCGACCATTCCACAAAAATTGTCTTTCAAAGAATATTTACAAATATCTTTAATGAGAAAATTGCCCATGTCTCCAATCAGATTGCTAAAATGAAATGGTTGTGAATGTCTAACCTGAGATAATCCGACGCTTTAGAGAAAAATAATACCTACATCGTCTCTTCATTCACTAGATGTAAATTATTATTCGTATTACCAAGTCACTCCTCAGTCCTATTCCGGAAATATTTTACTCCAGCCGTCATAATTAAAATTCATTTCTTATCAATTAGTTTCTTTTATTTGAGTATCAGTTCAAACGCTGATGAAAATCAAGTTTCTTGAACAGCTGAGACTAACTACAAATGAAAATTGTTACATTATGAATTACTATTCTGTAGCCTTCGAACTTTAATGCATTATAGATCAGTGAATTGAATCATTATTTTGTTCTCTGATAGGAAAGCTTGTGTTATGCCAGTACTTTTCAGTAATTGTAAAATTTAGATCAAGTGTGAGGCTGAACTTCGCCTATTTTGTAAACTCAAAAGAAATGAAGACAACTGTTATTATATTTACAATTTTCAGGTATTTGCCGTCGCAATCTTCGCGGTAGTGCAGGCCCGACCAGGCGGCGGCTACGAACATTTCAATCTAGCAGGTTATGGAGGAGGTAGTGAAGACCACTACGGAGGCTTGGAGATCTCAGGAGGTGGCTACGAATCCGTGGGAGGTGATCACGAAGCCCTTGGAGGTGGTGGCTATGAAGCGGAAGGGCTGGGAGGAAATGAAATTGGACATGGGGGTGAAGAACACCATGAGGAATACGTCGATTATCATGTAAGATATTGGTAATCCCTCGACATCGATAACTCAATGTTCAATTCAGTCTGGTGCAATTCCGTTTCTTATAATCTTTTTCTATTTCAGTCACCATCCTTTATCATTTTTCAATAAAAAAAGACCCGGGTATAATAATGAATAGCTGTTGCCCACAACTTCATCCGTGTATAGACTCCAATTTTTCGATTTCCCAGATTTCCTAGGGATAATTTGCCTTTAATTTATAAGAAAATCTTTTTACAAACTATATAGTTATCCAAAGTCATAGCTGATTTAACCGATAGCAAATTATTAATATGATTCTTAGAGTTATCATAAACCAAACACTATATGTTGGGTAAAGTTTACCACAATATATTAGCGAAAATCGCTTTCAAGTTTTCTAAGAAACTGTTTTTCAGAATGGCGCCTTAAAAACGCACAAAAGAGTGGACGAAAATTCTGAAAATTTTTGTTCTGGGTTATACTACTCATTAAATATCTTCCATAAACAGGCAGCGATCCGTTACACTTTTATTATATGTATTGATATATCGATATTTCAATTGTATGGTCTTTGACATATTCTATTTCTTCGAATGCATTATTGTGTGATTCAACAGAAAATCTTCATAATTCGAAATGTTTTATTTCCATGCAACGAAACTAGAACAGTTGAAGTTAAATCGTTCGAAATATTTGAAGATAGACTCATTCCGGAAAACCTACAATAAGAGTTCGACAATATCATAAACGACATAGAAATAAACATTCTTATTTTTTTGAACGTGTACCATCTCTATCTTTTGAAAATCATTTATATGATTCGAAAAACGTTCAAAGAATTCAAGCCAAAATGCATTTCTACTTGTTTTGTTGAATGATTCAATTCTTTTTCTAGTTTTGATTTCCATTTCTGCTTAGTTATTTGAATATTTACTGCTGCATGGTTGAGAAGTACTTCTTGATTAAAGTGAAACTAAAAACAATAATTTTATTCTCAGTTTGTCAACGCGAATAAGAAGACAAAAACTAAATGATATATCAAAACATTGAATTTGTGATCTGGGATATAAATAATGGAAAATCACATGCATCAATGTACTTAAATAAAAGATCATGTTATTTTATATTTGATTTGAATGAGAAACATCTTTGTTAAATGTCAAATGAAGACTATAGAACTGCATTGCTCATTATTAGCAATTTATTTTTGGTTGATAAATAATAACATTGATTAATATATACTAATGCCTCTTTCATGCACGCAATTATTATCATATGTCGCATTGTGACAAAAGCGCGGCGTTTTCAAATATAACTTCACCTTACTTATTAGGGTGTTTTTTATTTTTTACATAGTTCATCAAAAGAGACTATTGACGTAATTGAAGAATTCATCATTGTCTTGTCTTAATTTTGTATTGAGTTCATAATATTCTCCGCTAAGGATTCTAATCAAACCCAACGTCTTTGTCGTCTTCTTCCATTTGTATGTTAGTAGGTGATTGACAATGTTTCATGATGAATTTCATCAGTTCGGACTTCCATTGTCCGATATTATATGAAATCATTTGAAATCCCTGAAAGAACTGATAAAAAAGAAAAATAAAAAATGTATAGCTGAAAATAACTTTTATATTAAGCGAAAAAACCCTGAAATGCTATAATAGTGAAATAAAATACGAGTAAAAATAGAACAATTGAACAAAAAATAAAAATTAATTAAGAGATTCCAAGCCAAGTTACTTCACGATGTTTCGATTGTTAGTGCCCACAGTTAGTATCACGAGTGATGACTGAGTCTTTACCCTGAGTCATCACCCGAAGACGATTGTGGATACTAACAATCGAAACGTCGTGAAGTGACTTGGTTTGGAATCTCCCAATTTTTCATTTTCATTTTTTGTTCAATTGTTCTATTTTTACTTGTATTTTATTTCACTTTTGTTTCAATTCAGAGATATTTTGCCTAATATAATTGCTATTTTCAGCTATTTTTTTCTATTTATTTTTATTAGTTCTTTCAGGGATTTTGATTCATTTTATATATCAGACAATGGAAGTCCGAACTAATGAAATTCATAATAAAATATACAATACTTGAAACCAATTTTTCATCATATTTGTTTGTTTAGAAAGATGGCAATTCATCGAATGTTTCATTTCAACATATTATTTTATTTGAAGCTGACGCGTGGCAAGAAACCCAACTTGGGGTATACATTTCATTCGAAAACGCCGCGATTTCTGTAGCAAAGCAATAAACGATAGAAATCGTGTGCATAAATGAGGCCTGAAAGGAATAGCCATTCACCTTTTTGTGTCCCGTCCCGCAATCCATCTAATCAACAGATTCTCAATAATTTTTTCATATTCTTATGTATTGTAGTTTTTCTTGTCACTGACGATGACGCTTCATGACGTTTTCATTTTGCCCTAGTGCCTTATTGTCCCCATTTTGATTATGAAACACTAACCATTGCCATCTTTTAACTATCCAATAGAAGTTATGAAGTTCTTAAATTCACGCTTTCATTCTCCTAAACAATGTCTTTTAGAAATACGGAATCACGAGATATATTCAACATATTATGTCACTGAAGTACCGGCATGACGACCTGTATTATAATCACGGACCATATATGTTTTCTAAACATATCCTTCCGTGATTTCGTATGCAGAAGAAGCGAAACAGGTTGATCGGAATTAGTATGTAACGTATTAGTTGTTTGTTGTCACTTTTCTCGAGTAATCTGAGTAGAAAGCGAGAAAAAGTTTATCCGTATTTAACGATTTTTTATGCTGACACAGTAATTGGTAATAAGCATCTTTTCTTTAATATTTACTCTTGGCATAGGCAATTATATTTGTTTCCTTAGTTTTAATGATATGCAGAACGAAAACATTGAGACCTAATAACAGTTTTGATTTTGACGTTCGTTGGTCATTTTAATATGATCAAATTGCGTGAGGAGATTGAGGAAATCCTTAGGCGTTAATGAACTTATTATGGCTGTTTTGTGTTGATTCATACTTATAATGCACTGAATTTAATGAGCTGAATATCATTAGATGTAGAGCAGATACTTCCTTTAACACTTTGCAATTCAGATTATTTAGGATTGGTTGGATTTTATGAGAATTAAAATGAGAGAACAGAAATATCAAAAATTTAATCACAAATACATGAATGTTACGCGGAAAAATTAATTTGCTCGATTGATGACCTAGTTATTTTGTAGAAATTTATGAATATAGAATGAAAAAACGTTTATTATTTGTTACGACGAAGTTATTTTCCTTATTCTATAGAAAAAATTGATACCGATGAGGTAATTGAGGTTGAATTGGAATGCAGAAATGAGGGCTTAGGAAAATTAGTACCCTAGCTTATCATTTTTATGTGGCACAGCTACTGTTATATTCCTTTTTTAAAAATTTCGTTAGTAATATTATTAATTAAAATAGATCTGATCCTGTATATGGAAGGATATAAGGTGTTTGTAAGCAATGTTGAAAATATTTTTCGAAAACCATCAATGCACCATTGATGAATACTTCCGTTCAGTTTATCCTACTGCCCACCAAAATAGCACTGATGACATTGTTTACAGGCCCCTGCTAAGTACCACTACGACTATGCTGTACACGATCTTCATACCCACGATATTAAATCACAGTGGGAGACCAGGAATGGCGACAAAGTCAAGGGGGAATACACCCTAGTGGAACCTGATGGTTCAAAAAGGATAGTATCGTACACAGCCGACAAACATATCGGATTTAACGCTGTTGTGAAAAAAGTTCACGATTACTAATTTGAAATAAATTTAATTTATTTTCGTTCGTTTTCCTAATCAGTATTTTCAATTATTTTCACACGTTACTGAAAAATATTGTGATCCTTTTTCGGAAGGAAAAACTTTCGGAAAAGAATCTCTTGAACTCCAGGCTGTTCTTTCTCAGTTTTCCAATTGCCATAATTTCATAATAATCTATGTACACAATGCAAACAGATACTCCTTCTTTGTGTTCATGGTTTCGTCTATGTAGCCCTCATTTATAACTTTTTTTATTTATATTGTTTTAGTTGAGTGAGATGATCCTCGAGTATTATTTTGTATATAGACCTTATATGTTATCTTATTTACTTCGAATAAAAATGTTATTTTTTTGAACTTAGATTTTTACTTACCTCCATTCAACGGTATTTAGAATAGATTAGTAATACTGATGTTCCATAGTTTCATGGATATCGATTTCATTTTTACATATATGTAACGCGGTGAAAATCTAAGTTATTCCATTCCATTACATTATTATAAATATAAGAGATCCTTGATTTTTCATCAACTCAAATCATTCATAATATTATATTCAACTGAAACGATTTCTGATTTGACAGTTGCTGGTTTTTATTGGCTAAGAAAATTAACTACAACTAGAAATATTCCGAATCAGAACTTTTATATTTTCATAAATGAAAAATGTATCCCTCAGGCCTAAAGACTACATATAATGAATGAGTTTATTAGTATGAAGATCTGTTGTTCCTGACAATCCATACCTCACATATGACCAACAAAGTAGAAAACTCAGCTTCAACTTAATACTTCAGTACAGTTGACTTCTTTGAATGGAAGGGGTTATATTTTTAGAAGTGATTAATTTTTGTATCGAAATGGAGTAGTAGAAAGCCAAAAACTTTCTTTCCCAAAAATTAATCACTCCTAAAAATATAACCCCTTCAATTCAAATAAGATTCCTCTTGGCTGAGATTAAATCAGATAGGTGAATGAATGACATTACGATGTCATCGATGACATAAGCAGATCAAGCTTATTCCATGACATTAAAAATCGTAATTCATGAATGAACTGTGTGTATTTTCTATAATGTTATCCAATTTGGTACTGAAGAGCCTTGGGGCAAGTGTCTTAAGGCGAAACATCGGTGTATGCCAGTGAGGGTGACAGTGAAGTTGACTTCTATTGTTTCATTTTTGTGACTCAAAGCGAGAATTCCTTTCAAAGAGATATAAGAGCATTACATTTTTTTGGAATCAAGATGGAGAAGTAGAAGGTCAAAAACGTTCTTCCCCAAAAATTAATTTATCCTAAAAATACACACTTTCAATTTGAACAAGATTCCTATTGCTGGGATTTAATCAAATAAGCAAATGAATGTTATTGACATGGGTGGATTCAACGCATTCCGTGATTATGAACGAACGGAGTGTTTTTTCTTATAATGTTATTCGTATTTGCTACTGAAGATCCGACAAGGCAAGTGTCTTAGGGCGAAACATTGAATGTTTAGTAGTGAGGATGATAGTGTTTCATGTAAGTGAAATTTCACTTCTTTTATCAATTATATTGTATAGAAATCCTGTGAATGATATCCGATTCGATCCCATACGAATGTTTTGAATTCAAACGGAATAGAGGAAAGTGTTTTTCGTATAATTCAGCGTTCATATAAAAATATTTGTTTCGAAAGTATTTTTCTTTCGTGTAATTTAATGTTTATATGAAAAAAGCTATTTGGGGAGGGCTTTTTCTTCCATTTTATGTCTGAAAATTACTTCTTTGCATGATTTATCTTTGTATAAAGTTAAGTTTTGAAATTGAAAATTGAAAATCAATCTGTTCTAAAAATAAACCCTTTCAATTTATTAATAACTAATGTTTATAACATAATACAGGTCAGACAGTAGCCGGTTGGTTAACGATCTTTTCATTCAATCCACAGCTATCTGAATGTTGGTTCGATTCGAATGAATATACGATCGAATTTCGTCTGTCTGAACCATACTAAAAATCGTACATAGAAGGGTTCTGTCATGTATTCAGTAGAAGCGGCAACACGGCAGCGAATCCAGATACAATAAGTGCACACCATTGTGATGGCTGATTGACAACTGGATTCGCTGCCGTGTTGATGCTTCTACTGAATACATGACAGGTTCGACCTCGTCAATCTCTAGATTGCACAAGTTTGAACTTCTGAGGGTTGCCCTGCTCAAGGGGGAGGCAGCGATACACGCAGATTTCACATCCCAGGAATATACGAATATTAAATGAACTTAACTATCCATACTCAATAAATAATTTTTATATTTATATCAGTGTACTCTGAAATACTGACAATATACAAACATAAGTTTAGATCAAGATATAATTCAATAAGATGGAATGAAAAAGTAGCTCCCTTCTTCGCAAGGACATTTCTTTCTCTCTGTCTTTATTTCCTTGTGACCTAGCATCGACACAATTCAAGAGGTTTTTTCAGCATGTGTTTTTTAAAAACTATTTTGCATAATTTTCAAATTAAGATTTTTCATCGATATGGTGATATCAGTGCGATAAATTTAAGCCAAACTACAATTATATAGTTTTTGAGACCAGTGAGTGAATATGTAGAGTAAGAAACTATATGTTAAAAATGATATTCCGTAATATTATAGTGGAAACAATGTCATAGAAGAAACATGCATTAATAAAAAAAAAAAAAGTTCAAACGAAGTGAAGTGAAAAAAGGAGTTTAATATTGCTTAAAGCAAGACTTCTGCATTCCCCTGAGAAAGCTTTCATTGAGAAGAGAACTTGTTATGATAGTGCCTCCCTTTCCCCTTCTTTGAGGAATTCAAGAAAGTCAAATATTGAACTTTTTGGCCTGAATATACATGTCTAGAAACCCTTCTATCATATTGTCCACCTAATAGAGAATTGTTTCAATATTATATGTGATGAAGTCGGCCGATACTTGATACGTATTCAATAAACACTTTATTGTGAGAATTTCACTAATCAGTTTTACAAAAACGTAACACGTGTTTCGCTATACATTAGCTTCTTCAGGCGTGTCTTTATAGTTTCCTTCACTAAAGACATGCCTGAATGAGCTATTGAATAGCGAAATACTTACGTTGCGTTTTTGTAAAAATGTTTAGTGGAAATCTCACAATATAGTGTATACTATACTATCTTGAACTTCGGTACCTTGTATACATTTCTTTATGAATGCAATTTCCAGAACTTATTTTTTATTTTTCATTTGAACACTACTGTACATTATTCTAACACGTTTTCAAAAAGTTAGGTTGTCATTTCTTTCCATACATAAAGTTACACTTCACAAAATTCCAAGTTTTTCAAAACGTAATTTACTGCCATTGAAGAACCAGTTTAAGAAGTTCAACTACGAATATTTTTGGCGCGAGATGGTGCTGAGGTCAGTTCTCGTGGTTATTACGTTGTTTGAATACGGATAGAATGAATTTATTAAAATTATGCAACAAGAAGTTGAAAAATATTTGAAAGAAGCAAACGCTCATATAACTGATGATTTCTGCCGCAGTGGCAAAGGAGACGGTTAGTACTTCAAGTTCTATTCGACTACGGTCTACCAATACGAATTTCGTTCTCCACACTCATTGTTTGTTTTTTGTCTCATTTTTTAAATATCATTTATTTTTTCAATTGATCACATTTTTCATATTTCATTATTTATTTGTTTTCAGATATACTTCATTGCCAACTCGTAATCATCAGGAGTAAAATGTTTCTTGCACCCGATAACCCCTTTGACAAGGGTATGTTTGTCATTTAGAAACTTGTGAGTACTCCTGAGTAATTGGAGGGCATGTTATTAATATCTAATGTATATGCCAAAACCTCACAAAACGAACATAAAATCACTTAAATGAGCTAAAAGCAAACAGGCACTGTTCAAATGTTAAATTATTGTCTAGACCTCGCACATTTTAGCGCCCTCTGACGGTCTCGCCGATGGTGGGCCTCATTGTCAGGTTCTCATCCCAACTTTACGGGTGATATAATTATTTTCTTGTAAATTTTGTGGGAACATTAACAATAAAGTGGCTTTACTTTTTTGTACTTTTCAGAGACCACATTTTAATCAACAATGAAAGAAGATGCAATTTATCGCACTATGATTTTCGATACTTGTTTGGACGTTAAAGATTGAAATGGAATATCATCGAACTTTCATTGACTTTTCGCCCAATTTTAACTATACTATTGATTTGGGTGATCATGAATAGTGCAATCATCCATCCAAATTGATTCGATGATTTTTCAAATTATTTCTATTTTACAATATTTGAATCAAAATACGCAGCAAGGGCACATGCTCAATTTTTAAAATAATTAGGTTATTTCTCATCCATGAATCGAAATATAAAAGGAAACATGTCAAGATTTGCTCAATACATACCAATAAAATTTTCACAGGACGTTATTCATAAAGGAAACATGTCGGTGATATGTTGTCCGTTATTGGAAAAAATGTATTTGGTCTCTTTTCTGCATATTCCCATTCATTTACATCCGCCCCAATTCCCCCGCTTCATGTGCACTTTCTGATTAATGAAGCGTAAAAACTCGGATATGTGGTGGTCAGATATGTATATGGGAGATTGCGTAAGGTTTATTTGCATGTCATTAGAAATCCAATAGTGATCTGAGCACATCGTGGTCTTTAAATTTCTCTAAGAAGTCTCATTACAAATACCTACGTTAAGTCTATTAGACGCTGAAGAGATCTATTTCGATGTCGAAGTTTTATTTTTTTATCGCCGTTTCTTCAAATGTTTGGCATCCAAAGTATAATATTCATATGTTCAATAAATTTGGAATATCTCTGAAACAATCATAATTACATAAAAATTAATTATCTACTATATTATTTATCATGTGGGGATAAAGGGTTTCTGTTGAATTGAGTTTTTATTAAAACGAATCAGTATTTCTATTTTGTTTTTAGTAGTAGTATACGAAAATCATTATATAACATTCTATAATTGATAAATAAAATGATACCTTCTTATGGGATGGTAAACTGCTTGGTAATGTAACGAATAACGGCGCTAGTATGTCTGGCTTTCATTTCTACTCACTCTAACACACAGCGCTAGCCGTATTTCGGACAAAAGATTCTCTCGCCTCTCTTCGTATGACTCAGTGTCCCGTGTGCGGTCGACATATATTGTTGACAGTGAGCATATAACGTAAAACTATCACCGCTTTTTAAGGTGAATATAAACATTTTATGAAACATGCTGATGATGATCCTCGGAACATTACAGAATCTCCTAACAAAAAGTTAGTTCAATAATATAATATAATACGATTAATCAATAACCATATATTACAAA